AAAGTCTTTGTGGGCAGCAAAAAGCCCCAATCTTCTTCTGAATCCTGCAATCTAAGACAAGTCAAGAAAGCCAGAGGGGTCTCTATAAGCCAGGCTAACTAAGTAGCCACACAATATCAGATGGAAAGAGCTCAGAGCCCAAGTCTCTTCTGATTCCTGACCTGCCCTAGACTACTTACCTGGTGTCTTCAGTAGCTTTCCTGGGGCCAGGGTAAACAAACTTAACACAGAGAAAGAAATACATATCATAGACTTTGTTGATCATCCTGGAAGGACAAGAGAATCTGAGGCAGTTAACAGCAATTGCTTAGGCCCAAAGCCCCAAACAAACCTTTAAGAATGCATTCTCCCCTTTTAAAAGGTAATCACCTCCCAAGAAAAGGTCACCAAAGACAATTTCAAATGCCAGCGTGGGGGAAACCACTTCCCTGCATCCTGGTCATTTGCCAAGCTGACTACTGTAGCAGGTGTCGTCTACCCTCCGGTCACTGCCTCTCCCAGACAGAAAAGTAGCACATGACATCTGGAGGGGGGGATACATGGTCAACATACCACAGAGCCCCTGACCAACACAACACTGCTTCTCGGAGGTCCCACAGCACAGGAGAAGCCACAGGCCTGGCAGATCAAACTTGTGGCTGAGCAGCAGTAGAGCTTCCTGGGTACCCAGGCTCCTAAGGCCACCGTGACACAGTGAGAGCAGCACCCCCTGGAGCCTTGACTGTGGTCTGTAGGTCAAGGACTCCACTCTGTGCTGCTGAAGCCCCCACCCCCACATCCGTACACAGGTACATGGAACTCAAGAGCTTGAGGAAATCACCTCTGATCTTTTGATTGGCTTACCTGGATCTGAATTCTTCTGTAATATTTTTAATCATTCCAGGTGGACCCTTCTTCAGGAATAATAAACCTCATTGTCTCACAGTTAGAGAGCGCCCAACATGTCGAAAGCATATCATGGAAATTATTCCACCATGAAACTGGAGAGGCCTTCCCTACCTTCATGGACTCAGCTTGCTAAAGAGAACACACATGAGGCTTCGTTCGGAAAGACACCCCTTTTTTTTTTTTTTAAGTTAACCATACTCTTCAACCATACTCTCCCATTTTTTTTCTTTTTTTCTTTTTTTAGTTAAAAAAAAAAAGTAGCGAAAAGAGCAGGGAAGGGAGGTCAAATACGTCATAGCCTGGCCAGCAGAATCCCCTGGTCTTGCCATTCGTTACATGTGATGTATTCAAACAGATTCTTAGTATCTTAATTTTCAGAGAAAAGAGTAGAAGGAACCAGCCAATGTGTTTGCATGCTCGGTTTCTGTCCATGACACTGAACTTGAGAGAGCTGCGACCTTTGGAGAAACCAAAGATGGTTCAGATGACTTGTGAGGATAAATTAACTCAGTGCACTTTGCCGACAAGTCGAAGTTTCCTAATTGTAAAGCAGAACCAGCAGCCACGAATGGAGAAGGTCTACCCCACAGATGGAGAAGGGGCAGAGCACTGAAACTCAGCCCAGGGGACCTTCTCAGCCCTGGGGTGCAGGGCTAACGGCGCTCCTTCAGGTCAGCAAAGCAAGTCTGCATCACCAAACCAGCTCCTGAGCAGCTGGCTTATTAATCTCTGGAGGTCTGGGGAGTCTCATCCAAGCCTGGAGGCCAGAGGAAAAGGCACACAGGCAGGGCTGCAGCCCCCAAAGCAGGGGGAGTCTACATTGTTGCCCCAGGAGAGGTCACTTCCCTCCCCAGATAAATGGGATTTTCCACCTCATCAGGGGAAGGTGACTGAGCACACAGCCAAACAAGGAGGGTTAGAGCAGATGACCTCCTTGCACAGTTTAAAAATATATATGTTATTTATTTTTAGAGAGGAAAGAAGGAAAGAAGAAGGAGAGGGAGAGAAATATCAGTGTGGATCAGCTGCCTCTCACAGGCCTCCAACTGGGCACCTTGCCTGCAACCCAGGCATGTGCCCTGACCAGGAATTGAACTGATGATCTTTCGGTTCGCAGGCCAGCACTCAATCCACTGAGCCACACCAGCCAGGGAAACCTCCCTGCAGAGTTTTGAGTGAGGAACCCCGCAGGGCAGACGTGCCCCTTCTCTTGCCTTGGGAGAGCCAGGCCCAGCCCAACACACCTGCACTCTCAGAAAAGCTGAGGCTAGACTAAGAGGTTGCCAAGAGCCACAACAGGACATCAGAGCTGAGGCTGTGAGGTGCCCTGAACTAAGAGTGGGCCCAGCAGGGCATCTATCCAGAGCTTTGCTCTCCAGGCCTAGCTGTCCTCCACGATCAGGTGGCCCTTTCCAAGCAGACATACCCCAGTCCCTAATTTTTTTTTCCATGTAATACCACCGTTTTTTCCCAAAGCAGAGCCATTTCCCAGAGCCTTACAGTCCTGGCATCTGCTCTGGGAGTCTCAGCCCTGGAAGAAGCTGTTAAATAACTCACTGTTTCAGTTACAAACTTCTTATGACATAGTGACAAGTGAAACCACATCTGCCAGCAACTGCAAGTTCCCTAGTACCCAGTGACTTCTCTTTTTTCCTGGGGGCACTCCCTCCCGCTAAATCACAGACCCACCCACCTCCACACCCCTGAAATGAAGGCAAATAGCGCAGTGCCACATTTTAACTTGTGAGATATGGGAAACGCCTCTTCCCCAGAGATCTTAAGACCAAATGGGAGTTACTTCTCCCGCTTCACCCCGAATGCATTGATGGATGCGCTGAACTGGAGTCCACCGACACGTAAGGAAAGCAGGCATGAGCAGTAATTCTGACGGCCTAGGTCGGACCAGCCAGCCCAAGGTATGGTGGCAAAGAAGGCAAAGCTACCTTGGTTTCCCTTCTTCCTCCCTATACATTCCTATTTGTCCTGCCTCTTTTGGTCTCAATTGGCAGTCACCTCAAATCCAGCCATTGAGGTTACAGTAGTTAGTAAGTGCTAATAGCATGACCTTTTCTGGTCATTTCTACATATTAAAACATGAGGAATGAACTCTCCGAGTAGATAATCCATTGACATCCAAAGGAAGGTGGCTGTCATGGCAGAGTTATGGATGTTGCGTTAACACTTAGGAGCAAAGGAGAGCCCGTTTCTCCCACAAGCAAGAAAAAGACCCTAGATGCTAGCATACGCCAGGTGGGCGGCCGCGGTCCCCAGCCTCCCCATACGTCGCGGGTGTGTTTCCAACCCCGTGCAACTGGACCTTTCCTGGATGCCGGAAGCACAAGGCCTGGAATTAAGACCAGCTCTCTCACCTTGGGGACCTTTCAAGATTTTGAATAACAAACAATAATGACCAAGGACAGGGGAAGCTACAGAATTCTGTCATAAAAACACTTTGCAGAAAGCCTTGGAAATAGTGTATTAACAAGACACAAGCTGGCCTCATTATTTAAATTGGGAGACCAGGTTTGTGGTCCCAATGTTCTCAGAAAAAAAGAGAGAAAATCACTTTTTTCCCTTCATTTTCCACTTTCACTGTATTTTCAACAAAATAGAACCTCAGTACTTCAGAGGAAAAATGACTGGGTGGCCAGCTGACGCCAGACACAATGGTCTGTCTGGCTCATGCATAGTTTCTTCACAGGCAAGACACCACGTGCTCAGCTGCAGGCGTCCTCCCGGGCAGGGGGGCCCACAGCCAAGGAATGTTACACGGAACAAGTGTTTCTGGTGAGATTTCTCAGCATCAGAAATTGTAAACACTTCCTCTCGTTCGGTCTGCACAACAGTAGTGATGGAAAGAATTGTTAGTGCCCCCATTTTATAGATGAGCAGAAAAGGGTACAGGGCCTTGGGGTCTTCACCAGGGTCAAAGAGCAAGCAGCACAGCTGGGCTTTAAACCCAAGCTGTGTGACTCAAGAGCCTGCCATCTCCCATGTACCCTCCCATAGAGTGCTGCCTCGGTGACACCCAGACAATGGGACACCACAGTACGTGTCTGTCTGTGCATGAGTGCGCATGGATACATGTCCACAAACCAATAATGAAAATGCAGAGGTGAGCACTTGAGCGGCCAAGAAAGCCTAACCCAGCTGAAGGTAACAGAGGACTGAGTTGGAAATACGGGGGGTCCGGTGCTTCCTCTGGGGAAGCGGGGCTGGAAAGGAAGGAGACTTACTTTTTCCTATATACCCTAATGTCCCTGTTTGAATATTTTATAACATACACATACTTCCTATTTTCAAAACTTTTCATTGAAAAGAAAAATCTGTAGTTGAAATTTACTGAGTCATATTTTTCTAAAAAACAGACATGTGAAAAAAAGCAATCCCACACCACAGAGGCTTGTTGCATGCATGCATCGCGGGGAGCCCGGAGACAGGACTCAGCTTGGGGTGCTTGCATTGCTTAAGACCCAAGAGCACTAAGAAGGAAACCATTCGACCATAATCTCCCACTTTCGTTTTCGAATTAACGCCCCTGCTGCCACCACAGACGGGCCGGACGTGCCTCTGTTTAGCAAGTCGGTAAAAGAATGGGTGACTTCACTTTCTCCAACAGGTGGGTCCTACAGTGTTGTGCGCAAAACAAAACGTGAGTAAATCTTCTCATATTTTAAATACCGTAGCAGAGGTCCTTGTTCTAGCAATCCTGATGAGATCCTCTTTGCAAAGCAAAGAAGCCGATTTTGTGATAACACTGTGTTTTGTAAATACTTTTCTTTTCTTTTTTTTTTTTTTTTTTTTTTTGTGCTCTACGAGGGTCTTAGCTCAGCCCAGAGCCAGTCTTCCCGCGGTCTGGGTGTCTGGGAGACTGGTGGGGCAGCCTGGTCATGAGCCTATTTGCATGACACTAAGGACTCTCCTGCAACAGACGTCATTAGAAGGGCTGAGGGAGCTTGTTCACTCTTGACCAATAAGAAAGGCTGGGCCACTGGAGAAGAACCGTGATCGGAGCCTAGGGCAGTGTCTTGCAGTCGGTTCCCTCCCAGCTGCCTGTGGACTCAAATCAAGTCATACAGTAGGAGGGAGCTATGAACACTAAGTTTCAGAAAATGCCACAAGGTCCTCCTCTGACATCCCATCAAAGAGGTGAGTAGCATTCTCCCGGCTTTCGCCCTGAAGAAAGGGGGCACCGGCGACTTGACAGCTCCAGAAGCCCCAGCACACACGCTCGGGCCCCTCGGGGCCCCTCTGTGGGAGTGCGACCACCCCACAGCCAGCAGCGGGGGCAGCACCAGCGGCCTGAGACAGCCCCCTTGGCACAGACATCAAAGTCTTAACCAGCAGGGTCCCCAAGGGGCCACCAGAGAGCAGGGCTGGGAGCCGACCTGGCCGCAGTGAGCTAGAGCAGGTGAGCAGGGAATCTGGTAAATGCCACATGGTGACAAGTGGGAGTCATTTATACAGGCACCGCGCACTGCACCTGGAGGCTCCGGAGGGTAACTGCACAAGGCTCGGGGGCAGGTGGGCACTTCTGTAACAACTGGTCACCACATGAGCCAGGAAAGGAAAGTTCTGTGGGCGGCTCAGAGCGTTGTGTGTAACCCCAGGCTACGGGGTTGTTCTGGTCTGAAGAAACTCAGGTCAGAATCTCAGGTTTTCACAAATGTGAATAAACTGGAAAACTAAATACTAGCCTGTTAATCTGCTAAGTATTTTTTATAAGTTACAATCAGCCTTAGCTTTTCCACCCCCACCTCCAACCCTTATAAAACTCTGTGGATGACTTCAGCATTACTTTCTTTCTCTACACATGCCAAAATGCTGAGTCACAAAAAAGAAGAAAAAAAAGGGAAAAGAAAGTAGAAGAGTGATCCTGTTCCTTGGTCATGAGCTAAGCAGCACTTTTTTCATGGCTGTGATTGCTGTGATGCTAAAGGACGTCACATTGCGAAATTTTAACACGGTTTCCAATCAGCCCCACCCACTCTGGCCCCACCTCCACCCTCCAACAAGCTTTATCAAATGTGGGGTTTTCCCATGAGTCTCAATATTAGAGCCTCAACCCCCAATAAATATGAGACTGAGGATGTCTGAGGCTCATTCTGTCCTCGAGCCCACCAGGAAGAAAAGAGAGCTCCATCTCCCTCCAGGAACCCAGCCATGAACTCCCTCTGCACAAGTAAGTGAAGGAAATCCCTAGCCTGGGAACCGCCTCGAGACCGTGCCTGGGTGAGAGAGAGGGTATGTGCCTGCCGTGAGGGCTGGCGGGCGGCCAGCAGCCAGAGCACAGCTTCCGCAGCAGGCCGGTCTGCTCATTGCTGCTCTCCCTTCCCTCCGACACAGACGCCTTCAGCCCGCTGGCCTTCTCCCTGGGGCTGCTCCTGGTGATGGCTACTGCTTTCCCTACTCCGGCCCCCCTGGGAGAAGATGCCAAAGATGAGACCACCTCAAAGAGATCACCACTCGCCTCTCCAGACCAAATTGAAAAACTCATTAAGTCCATCATCCTCGAAATCTCTGAAGTGAAAAATAAGGTGGGTAAGCTCAATGGAGAGTGAGAAAAGACTGTCTGGGCATGCATCTCCTTGCCCCTGGATGGGGACAGGGGCTTGTGCATTGGGAGGTCTTTGCTGGATTCTTCTGGGGCCCTTTAGATTTGAAGCCAAAGAGGCAGACTGTCTTTTGTATTTCTCCTCCACTGCTGGTCTCAGGGAATTCCTTTCCCTCCTGGAAAATACAGAATGGGGCTGGAATCCATGACACTTGGTCCATCCCCAACTCCATACCTGACATGAGCTAAGGGTCACTGTTTCTTAGGTCTCCCTCTTCTCTAACCAAAAAATAAGGTCTGTCAACTTATTTTTGTGTCCCTTGGACTTTGGAAGGGTTAGAAAAGTGCCACCTGAAATTAATGCACAGCCTCTCAGGACAGTGACAGTACTTTTAGGTTGTACAATCTCAGTAGTTAGGAACTCCCCAAAGTCATTCCAGCTTTTAAAATGCAAACTTGATAGCATTTTAAAATAGGCATAGGTAGGTTAATGCAGCCCCAATCTTTAAATGCAAGGTAGTTTGGCTCTGTTTTGTAGAAAGGAAAGAACCCAGTTCTAGTTGTAGTTCCACTGAACCAGCTTTGTGATCTTGGGCAGATTTCTTACCCCCTCTGGGCCCCACCTGTAAAATTATGGTATTGGACTAGATGATCTCACAAGTCCTTCCAAGTGGAACATTCTATGGCTCGAATTATATTCACCCAATTGTCATCAAATTTGCTGTCATTTATTACATACCTACTATGTTCCAGACAATTTTTATAAATATTATGTCTCATCCTCACAACAAACTTACAAGGGGGTATTTCGTTATCCCCAATTTAGAGAGAGGGAATGAAACTTGGGATAGGTAACAAGCCTGAAGTCACAGGTGAGCCCAGAATTGAACCCAAGTGTGCCTACCTCCACTATATCTTTCTTGCCTGGATGCCAGTGGGCTGTGACTTCATTTTCCTTTGAGAACTTCCTCACCATGTAGAACATGATAGGCCCTCTAGTGGTCTTTGTTTTAGGGGCACTTTTATGATAACAGTTCTTGTGTTTCTTCCCAGATGTGTGACAGCCATGAATCATGTAAAAACAGCAAGGAAGCACTGACAGAAAACAACCTGAACCTTCCAAAACTGACAAGAAAAGATGGATGCTTCCAATGGGGATTCAATCAGGTACCAACGCGTCACATTCACTGGTAGTTATTCCTTAGTCAGGAGTTCTTGATATTGCATGCAGGGTCTGTATATATACAGACCAGGCAAGAAACTAGGAAGGCGATAGATGTAAAGAACATCATGGAAACTCCATGAGGAGGCCAACTAAAATCTTCCTTAAGGCAACATATTTTTGAATGGCGTGGTCAGAGATTGCCTACCCGCACTGGGATTTTTGCAATTGTCAAATGTTAGAAGCTCCCACAGGTTTGGCTAGTCTCTCCTGTGTGAGGTGGTGGTTCAGCGACCTTTCTCCTCCTCGGATGCCCTCCCTGCTGAGGTCTTTCTCTACACCTTTCTCCTTCCAGCCAGTGAGATAACCTGCGCTGGCTTCTGATTATCCCATAAACGGTGGTAGCCCAACACGGACAAGGATGGGGGCGCAGTCAGAGGGGAGAGCATGAGAGGGAGAGTCAGAGAAGGACCCTTACCACATTCTAGCGTCTGTACGGCTTTGGGTAACATTGATTAAGTGGTGTCTCTGATTTGTCCAGATACTTAAAATAGGGCAGCTAATGCTGTTTGATGTCTCAAAACATGATGCCTAAAAAGTACTTGAAGTTCCTGGTTGAGGAGAGGGGTGGTTAGAGGCTAAAATCAATTATGTCTTCCTGGCAATAACCAATTTTCCCACCATCTTTCCTCTTAGGAGACCTGCTTGAGGAGACTCACCACCGGTCTTGTGGAGTTTCAGGTGTACCTGCAGTACCTCCGGAACACATTTGAGGAAAATGCCAATGCCATGCAGATGAGAATCAAAGCCCTGGTCAACATCCTGAAGCAAAAGGTGAGTGCCACCTCCTCTTCTCATTTGGTGTGGGGAAGAAAGCCTCAAAGAAAGCAGCCTGGACACCTGGGGATTCAAAGCGAATTCAAAAGAGAGGGCCACATGCAAACAAAAGGATCTAGAAATTTTTTTTTTTTTTGGCTCTCTTCAGCAAAGGACATCAATAACTATATTTAAAGCTATACGAAGCTTTATATATAAAAGCTTCGTTTATAAAGTTAAACGAAGTGGATTTTAACATTGATTTCTAATAGCTTAAGAAATAAGGAAAGAAGTATCTGTAGAAGCAGGAGAAAGAACTTCAAACCCTACTCAGTGATCCATAGTAACAAATGAAAGAGCACAAAAATTATTTTAATATTTTAATTATCACCAAGTGATATTCTTGTCATTATGGTAGTTTCAACTCTTTTTCCCAACTTTCTGCCAGAAGAGCTAATGCAAAGAAATGGCTAAAGGCTCGAAAAACAGGAACAAGGTCTCTGGTACTACCAACTGGCCATTCAAATGCCGCATAATGGAGGCTTGATGGCACAGTGCATGGATGAGCCAAACAAAGCTCCCTGAGAAGGGCTGTGGATGGAGAAGTCCATGGTGCTAACCCTGCCTCTGCCTTCTAGCTGTTTGCCTTCGCCTGGGGCATCTCCCACTTTAATGAGCCTTTAGATGCCCTGAGGATCTTGGGCTCGAAGGAAACCACCTCACCCTATCTGGGCTAGTCAGGGCAGGTGGCCCCAATTAGTCTTCTTCACCCCAAATTTGAACTTCTTCCCACAATCCAGAGCATCCCTCCACTAAAAAGGATTTTTTCAATATTTAAGCAATTCTTTTTGTTTTCTTTTCCCTGTGGATAAAGAATCCAGTTGAAGGAACCATCCCTGAGCCCACCACAGACGCCGGCCTGCTGGAGAAGATGCAGTCACAGAGTGAGTGGCGGCAGACCACGACAATTCACCTCATCCTGCGGAGCCTCGAGGACTTCCTGCAGTTCACCCAGAGGGCCGTTCGGATAATGTAGCCTGGGCAGCTAAGATGGTTGTGATTCATGGACATTCCTTCCTCTGCTCAGAAAGCTGTCCAATGGGCACATAACTTATGTTGTTCTCTATGAAGAACTAAAAGTATGAGCGTTAGGACACTATTTTATTATTTTTAATTTATTGATATTTAAATATGTGATATTGAGTTAATTTATATAAGTGATATTTATATTTTTATAAAGTACCACTTGAAATATTTTATGTGTTAGTTTTGGAAAAAAATAACATAAAATGGTTATACAGTTTGAATACCCTCATTTCAGAGCCAGATCATTTCTTGAAATGTGTAGGCTTACCTCAAATAAATTGCTAATTTATACATGGTTTTTAAAAAATATATATTTATAATGTATTTATATTATGTTTAAGTTGTTTTTATACTAGTAAAGTCATTTTAAAAAAAATCAGCAACTAAGCCTCTGTGAGTCCTGTGAAGCTTAATATAAAAAGTTTTTGCCCTGGCTTGTGTGGCTCAACAGATTGAGCACTGGCTCACAAACCAAAGGGTCACCGGTTCGATTCCCAGTCAGGGCACATGCCTGACCAGGTCCCCAGTAGGGGGCACATGAGAGGCAACCACACATTGGTATTTCTCCCTCTCTCTTTCTCTCTCCCTTTCCCTCTCTAAAAATAGCTAAATAAAATTTTTTTTAAAGTTTCTGTCACCACCACCACCAACACAAACAGCTACAATCACCTGGAGAAGGACTGGGCACCTGTCCCTCCTGCATGCCAGGCACCATGGTAAATGTGTTGCATCCATCACATTTAGCCCTGGCACTTGCATGCTCTTTAATGGATGTGGGAGAGGAAGTGATTTCTGTAAATCACCCAGCTGGAAGGCAAGGCACAGGCCCAGTTTGGAAATCCAGGTCTACCTTTAGGTCCCATTGCCTCCTAGAGAGCTGAAAACTAATGTTGAAAATCCCAGAACATGTGTGAAAACAGGGAGAACATTTTGAGATGCAATTAAAAGTCTTTGAGATGATGCAACCACTTGATTAAGACAGCAATATGCCCGCTTCCAAATAATATAAAAGTTCTGCCGCCTTCTGTTGTGTTCAAACACTGCACTCACCCATCTGTCATAGCACCTACCACCTTGTAACACATTTTTAAACTGACGGATTTTTCTTTCCAGCCAGCATGTGGGGTCCTCAAGAAGGCATGCTCTATTGTATGTACTTTGCATCCGAAGCCCATGGCCCAGAACCTGAACAGAGGATACCCCAATAAACATTTATTGAATGAAGAAACCATACATAGATGATCAAATACAAGACACTTCAATTCGTGGGGAAATATACTGTTGCTCAGTGAGTGGGGAAATTAGAAGTACTGTGCATTTGTGAATCTTCATCTTACGGAAAATAGCAAGAATTAGAAAGAAACATGCTAAGAACTTCTAGAAGAGGCGGCGCATAGTTAGTGCATGTATATCTATCGCCATTTCTTTTCCGAACAGTAACAGTCTTCATCCATCTCTCCCCTCACCCCCTCGAGAGTGGCGGTGAGACAGGCAATCTGAGTAGCTGCGCATGGCCTCTCCTTCCTACTTTGACACCATGTTGGGAATTTGGTAAAGATTTCCCCTTTTCAACCCCAGCAATATAAAAGTTTTGTCTTCTAATAAAGCCTTCCTCACCCTAACCACCATACACTTCTTCCTCCAGGGAAAGTCCACAGAAGTCAGAAACTGAGAGGAGCTAAGCAAGAAAGGAGCCACATACTCTGATTTCTAGAAACCATGCATCACAATGGCTTCACAAAATTCAGGCCAAATCGAAGAATGATGAGAAATGGCAGTTGACCAGTGCATCCATTCTTCAAACAGAAATGTGTTGAGCACCATATATGTCAGGTAATGCTGGGAATGCAGAGGTGAATAAGCTAGACAGGACCCTTGTTCTCATGGGGTTTACACCAAGGCATGGAAGACAGACATTGAACAAAGAATGTAATTGCAATGAGATTTATAAAAGAGAAATGTTTAGTGTACTGAGAACCTATTCTGAGAATATCAAGAGCAGGGGAACCTAACTAAGACCAGGGAGGGCAGTCATGGAGCCTTAACTGAAAAAGAGAGGTTTTGGCTGAGATGTGAAAGATACGTAGCAGGTAGCTGGGATATGTAGCAGTGAGCAGGGCCAAGATGGGCGGGAAGAGCATTGCAGGTAGAGGGAATGGCATCTGCAAAGGTCTGAATTAAAGAAGAGCGCACTATGGTTGAGACAATGAAAACTGCATTAAATCCAGTGCACAAAGAACAGAAAGAGGGTAGTTGAGAGGCAGGGGTGAAAAGGGAGGCTGGGACCCTCAGATCACTGGCAGCATCAGAAGCCATATTCTAAATTTTGGAATTTATCCCATATGTGGTAAGAAGGCACTGGCAGGTTTTAAGTAGTAGAATGACATTCAAGGTTTACATTTTAATAGGATCATTCAAGTTGCAGTGTGGAGAATGGCTAGGAAAGGGGTCGGAAAGGAATGTCGGAGGGAACATGCCAGAGGCCTTCACTGTAGTCCAGGGGAGAGATGACAACGTTCTAAATCAGAATGGTGGTAATGCATAGAGAAGAGAAGGCAATGCCAGCCATCGACAAAAGACAGCTAGGAGTGGGCTCAGTAGGGTTTGGTGGTTACTGACCAAGATCGGGAATTTCAGAGGACACTGAGGCTTTGGGAGAGGGAAGAAGTAGGGGCAGAGTAAAGCACAGAGATTTTTAGATTTGAGAGCATTCATTCATTCATTCATTCATTCAGATATTATCTGAAAATGTGCAATGTGCCAGATTCTCTGCTGGGCCCTGGAGATACCATAGTATATCAGAAAGGCTAGGCCTCTGCTCTGAAGGAGCTTACAGTCTAGAGAAAACAGGTTAAAGAAATAACTACTGTGCTTACACTAAGTATGTGTGCTACTATGATGAGTTGAATTATGTTCCCTGAAAAGCTATGTCAAAATCCTAATGGTGGCACCTATGACTGTGACTTCACTTGAAAATAAATCTTTGCAGATGTAATCAAGATAAGATGAGGTCATTGGGGTGGGACTTACAAGAAGAGAAGAGACAGAGACACACAGGAAAGAAGTCTCTGAAGATGAAGGCATTTGAGAGATGGATTTATAAACCAAGGGATGCAGTGATTGCAGACAACCACCACTTTCAGTTACACCATGAAAATGACCCAAACATTTACAAGAGATAATGCTATAGAGGGTTAGCCGTCCAGATTCCACTCCTGAAAGTAGGATGAGGCAAGGAGGGCTCCCCTCGAAACGTCAGAAACAGCATGGCCCTACTCACACCGTAATTTGAATATCGAGGCTCAGGAACTGTGAGAAACATTTCTATTGTTTTCTATTGACATAGCAGCCACAGGAAACTATTACTGCTCCTTTAGTGACACACAGTAGAAGAGTCTAATCTAAAGTTGAGGGTTCAGAAAAGGTTTCCCAGAATAAATGACATTTAAGCTTATATCAAAAGAATGTATAGGATTCAGCCAGTTAGTGAAGTGGGGGAAGCGGGGGTTCCAAGCAGAGTTCATGGCACATGTTAAGGCTCAGAGGAAGGAGAGAACATGTTGGAAGAATGGAAGCAATTCTAAATTGCTGAGGCACAAAGGGAAAGGTAGTAGAAACAAAGCTAATACTGTAGGATCCAAGTTATAAAGAGCCTTGAAGATGGTTAAATAGAATCATTAGTGTAACAGAGAGAAGATGAGCAACTTCCTTAGAAAGTTTTTGATTGGGGGTTTCTTTTGTTTGCTTGCCTTTATTTCTTAAAAGTTTTATTTTAAGAGTTTATTTATTTATTTTTAGAGAGAGGGGAGGAGAAAGAGAAGGAGAGAACTATCTAAGTGTGGTTGCCTCTCGTGCGCACGGTATAGGGACCTAGCCCACAACTCAGGCATGTGCCCTGACAGGGAATTGAACCGGTGACCCTCTGGTTTGCAGGCTGGCACTCAATCCACTGAGCCACACCAGCCAGGGCTGCTTTTGTTTTTTAAATGTTGCAAGATTTTTCCATTTCTTCTGGTGACGTGGGGTAAGGAGGCAGGGATCCAGAAGTATAATCTAGAAGAGATTCAGTTTTCTATAGCAGGTCCCAGCAAAAAGGCAGAGAGTACCCTGGAGGTGAGAGGTAAAACAAGAGAGAAGACAATAAGGCGCACCTATGGCAGATGTGACCTCTGACACTGTGATGTTTTCCTCATAAAACCTCCGTGAGCTTCATTTACCAACATAAAGCAAACATGTAGTAGCCTTGTGCCAGCCTAGCTATGAAGAACAAAGGTAAGTTCATGTCCACCTTTTGAGGCAAAATGGATAATGCACGGTTGAAAACACAGGAAGATTCAGAGAAGGTGTCAAAGAGAAATCAAAGGTAAGTTTTTAAAGAGAAAAGCAACAGGCAAAAATCAAGAATATCCAGGAAGATTTGGGAAAGGCTTGTATTTCCTGTAGAAGGCTTGAGATGGAGACATTGCTTATTATATTTGGATGCTAAAGGAAAGGATTACCTCCAAAAGTTAGGGTCCTGGGGCACTTCAATCACACTATGAAAATGACCCAAAAATCTGCAAAAGAGAACACTGCAGGGAGGCAGCACTCCAGTTTCCACTCCTGATGAAACTTCTACATTGAGTTAAGAACGGGAAGAAATTTAAAAACCATCCCACATGCTCTAAGAGCAGACTAATAGTAACAATGATAACAATAACATTACTAACTGTTACTGAGCACTTTGTGCCAAGCACAGTTCAAGGTAAGTACTACGTCAGAACCAAAGGAGCTGAGAGCCTAAGAAACTCATGCAAAGTCATAAAATGTGTAAATTCCATTGCAGACTGCTAGCCATCCCTCCAAATCCATTCTCCACTTCTTCCATTGCAATAGAGTTTGAATTGGGCATGAATCTACCTGTCTGGTGGCTACATTTACTATTTGCCTTTGCAGGTAGGCGTGGCTGTG